TGATCCTTCGGCGGAGCGATCGCGCCCGACCGATCGATCGAATCGGGTTCGACGCGCATAAATGATGGAACGATGACTGATTTCAGGAGACGGAGCGGCAGGGAAATCCGAGAGGGAGCTGACGGCGACGGAGGTGATGCTGCCCTGGAAGCGCGAGGACGACGAGGAGAAAGGCGTCTTCACCAACCGGCAGTGGGAGTTCCCCGCCTGGCTGGACAACGCCGACTACGCCGGCTACTACTCGCCGACCAACACCATCCTCGGTGAGCTTCTCCTCGTCGATGAGCTTGGGGCTCCGTCCACGGCATGAAGTTTTCTCGGATCGTCACGGAAAGAATATTTAAAAAAAAGTTTCTGAATTTTTATATTTTTTAAAACTTTTTTTGAAAAAAAATTTTGAATGCGTCCTTAATGAGAAAGTTTCCTTTGGGATTCGACTTTCTCAGAAAATTTGCAGAGAAAACTCTCTGGTGTGGACGAGCCCTTAGGAGAGGAGGGCCCAAACGGGACTCTCGAGTGAAATAGTGAAATAGAGAAAAAAAAAATTGAAGGGGGGAGAAGGAGGGATTTATTGCAACGAGCAATTAACATCTCCACGTGAAGTGAGGAGAAAGGTGGCATAAGAGTGGATTCACGTGGGCACGTGTATCTCGCCTATGCATGAAGCAATGTGCCATGAAAAGAAAAATATACTTCTGGAGATTGTTCTGAAGCAGGAAGGTTTCTCGATTGGCAATGACAATTGGCCCGTGTCGAGAAGACTTCAGCGTATCCCTTCTCTTGAGGAGTCCTGATAACATTACAGCAATGGTTCGATGGCTCCTCGCATCGAATGACCGGAAGAAGGTCTGGGTCTTTGTTCGAATTCCATCATACCGAGGACTAGAACCTGAAAAGATTTTTGTTAAAAGTATGTTAACGAGGTGGTAAATCTCTGACACATCGAAATACAACTTCTCTCAATCGCGGAGTTGTGTGTAGGACCCACTTCTGTTTCGCTCCATTCGCTCTGAGGAGAGTGAATCCTGTGATGAAGATGTTTGAGCTGATTCAGTTGTCCTATTCGATTCTTCAGAAATCCTTTTTTTCTTCTATGTTTTGCAAGTAACGGACGTCACGGCACGATAATAAAAAAAAAGAAAGCAGTCCATAAAAAAGGCCAGGGGTTTCCCAAATTTCGATCTGGTTTCGGCAAGAGGCTTTTGCATCTTCTTCCCGTCACCCTTCCTCAGATGCACTCTCATTTGCTGGATGGGATCAATGCTCTGGATTGAGAATTCGTTATTCATGTGGAGGGGGGTCCCCGAATGACGTCAGCGCCTGAAAGACTTGCAATGATTCGTTGCATTTGCGCTCATGCCGGCAAAATCCTTTAGACAAGAAACGTCAGTGAAGATCCAGATCAAAACCAATTTTTGCGCTGGTGTCGGAGTTTCCCCGAGGACGGGATCTCCCCTCTACCACACAGGTTAAAAACGCGGTAGGATCGAAATCAAAGTCTGATGCCATGTCCCTCGTCCACATCACCAGGGATGCGAGAGCAAGAGAAGCGGACTGCGGCCTTCGACATCTTCCGGAAGCGGGACAGCCAGACGAGCCTGGGACTCGGGGACAGGAGGCTCCGGCAGCGGCACCACAGCGTCTCCCTCACCGAAGGGAGCGGGTTGCAGTCGGACCACCCCCTCCGACCCCTCAGGTCCTACAGTCTGAGCCCCGACAACGAAGAACACCGTCACGGCATCTTCTCCTCCCTACCCGACACCATCATCGACGTGGAGGAGGAGGACGCGAAGGACAAGGTGCCCGAGAAAGAAGACGAAAAGGACGATCCCAAGACGAGTTGAGAGGGTGACCTTTTTTTTTCCTTTTTTTTTTTCCTCCTGTCCAGAGACTGTGATTTGA